AATTTCCCGATTGAGGCTCCCTCAATCCAGGTGTGTCAAGTTGACACTAAAGCTATCCAGCACAGTCCCTATGGCCTCTAGTCTAATGAAGAGCTTTCTGAGAGTGGGTCTGTCCTTCCTTCGTCTGGCAGAATATAGGGAGAAATTCTGGCTGGCTTTCCTGGTGTCCCAGACTTCCTGTCTTTGCCAGACTAGAGACTACTCAAGTTTTCTGAAAATTATGGCAATACTTATCCAAAGGCTCCCTACCAGGTTAGTTGTAGTGAATTTGTTTAATTTCTGCATATATGTATATATTATACATACATCCTTTTGTGTGTGTATATGTGTATGCTGATATACATGTATTTGGGTACACATGCATGTGTGTGCATGTGGAAGCCAGAGCTGAACTTCAGGTATCATTCCTCAGGCCAACTGCCCACCTTGTTTCCTAAGACAGGGCCTCACACTCGTGCATAGAGCTCACTGGTCTCACACCCATGCATAGAGCTCACTGGTCTCACACTCATGCATAGAGCTCACTAATTAGGCTAGACTAGCTGGCCAGTCAGTGAACCCCAGGGATCCACCTATCTCTTGACTTCCCAGCTCTGGGATTATAAGTACATGCCACCAGCTCAGGCTTTTTACATGGGTTCTGGTGACCCAGCTCCAACCCAGGTCCTAATGCTTACAGCACTGTATGGGTGTACCTATCTTCCCAGGCCTAATTTCTGTATTTTAATCTACTTAGTTATTTTAATCTATTTTATCTAATAGGGTTCTACATTCCATATAACCAATTGTCCTGAGTGTATCTGTAGTTTGAGATATGTTGGGCTTCTTACCTGAGACCTTCCCATGTCTGTTAACTGTCTGCAGTATGTTAGGTCAGGACCCAGCAGGAAGCCTGGTGTGGGCTGTGTCTTTGATGTTCATTGTCCACACCTGTGTAGATGTCGGCGAAGCATCCAAATAACCAAGCCCTTCAGTGAAAGGTGCTTCTGTGGTTTGAATTTTGAAATTGGATCCCCATCAGGTCTTAGGAACTAGGACCTGGTAGGGCCTTTGAATGGTAATTAGGATTAGACAAGACCTTGAGGATGGGACCTCTGAAGTTCATTCCTTGGCTACTAAAAGGGGAAACTCCAGTGAGCAAGCTTGTCTGTCTTACCCACTGCTGCCTTGGGTTTGCTGATGTGATGGCCTTCCCTGATGTGAAGTCTTCCACAGGTCTTGAACTTCACACTCTCCAAAACCACGAGTCCAAGTCAACCTCTTCTTTACAAAGGTCTTCGTTAATTCTAGCTCTGCCTCTGGCATTGGCAGCCGCAGAAGTGGCTGGGACAGAGAAGCGCTTGCCCTCCAGCCAGTCTGTGGCCAGTCAGTGGTGAAGGCCCAGGAGAGATGGTGGCAGAACTGAAGCAGCCCCTATGTGCTGCTCACACCCAGTCCTGGAAGTGCCTGGGGACAATGCACACCATGAGAGGGACTGAAGGTATCACTGGGCACATTTCCCTGAGCCACCATTGGCTTTGTGAACCCAGGGGCAGGGTGACAACGGGATCTGATTTTTCTCTACTTTCCCACCCCATAACTTTAGCTGGAGCTTTCATCTGGGAGCAGGGTGGCAGTTGGAGCTGTGGAGCTGCTCAAGGTCCTTTCAGCGGGTATGTTGTTTATGTGCAATGACGGGTGAAACACCTGAGGAAAGCGACTGAAGGGAGGAATTCTTTGGGGTCATAGTTTCACAGGCTTTGGTCTTTAGTCCTTCACTCTGTTGCTCCTGGGCCTAATGTGGTTTGGAACATCATAGCAGGGAGCACGTGTGGGGTGGTGCTGATAGGCACCCCTACATTGATTTTGTATCTCAGCTGTTGGGAAGAGTGTTGCAGTAAGCAGGGGAAGGCACCTATCTCTCTGATATACTGATTTCATTTCCTTTGAAGAGAGCACCTTAAAGGTTAGCTGGATCATATGGCAGATCTTGTATTTTTCTGGGGAACCTCCATAATGGCTGTACTAACTTACATGTTTGCCAATAATTCCTCCCCCCCACCAGCATTTTTATATATTTAAAAAATAGTTGTTCTGACTGGGTTTAGATGATTTTTCCTTGTCTTGATTTGAATGTCTATAATGATGAATATTGAGATTTTCTTTCATATACTTATTGACTACTGTATTTCTTCTTTTAATGTGTCTAGTTAGATAATTTGAGCATTTTTAAGTTGGCTTTGTTGAGCTAGGGATGACGATCTCAGCATTTGGAAGGCTGAGGCAGGACTTGGAAGTTGGAGGCTAGTCTGGAGCAGGCAGCACAACCCTGCCTCAAACAAATAAGCATAAATTAATATAACACAGGACTACTCAATAACTTTCTTGTTCCTTTATGTATTGTGGGTATTGCCAGATGGAGAGTTGGCAAATGTTTTTTTTGTTCAGAAGCCTGAGTTTGATGTAATTCCCATTTTCTATTTCTGCATGTATTTTGTGTGCCTTGGTTCCCCGCCCCACTTCCCCCCAATCACTGCCCATGTTGATGCCTTCGTGTATTTCCTTTATATTTTCCTCCAGTATTTTCAAGTTTTCCATTTGGGCCTAGATCCATTATGAGTTGATGTTTTTACACAGGGTAAGAGTTAGGGGTCGCTGGGCATGGTGCTACTCACCTTTAATTCCAGCACTTGGGAGGCAGAGACAGGTGAATCTCTGTGAGTTCAAGGCCTGCCTGGTTTACATAGTGAGTTTCAGGGCAGCCAGTGCTGCACAGCATTCAATTCGATCTCTTACGTGTGGGTTATCTAACTTTCCAGTATCATTTACTGAAGAGGCTGTCTTTCTCAAATATGTTCATTTTTTAAAAAAATACTTATTTTGGTGCCTTTGTAGAGAATCATTTGGCTATAGATATGTCTGTCTGAAATCTTAATTATGCTCCATTGCTCTTTATGCAGTTTTATTATAATGCGTGTGGTATTGATTGCTATGACTGTAACATCTTGAAAACAAGTATTATGATGGTTCCAACTTGGTTCTTTTTGTTCAAGATTGCTGTGGCTATTTGAGGTACTTTGTGTCTCCATATAAATTTCAGAACATGAAATTTCCTAGTTTTGTGGCGTGTCATTGGCATACATGCTTGCATACGTGTGTGCAGCGTGTGATGGGGACACATTCACAGCACATGTGTAGAGGTCAGAGGTTTCAATTTGCCTTTCTCAATAAGCTAAAACATTTTTAGGTTTTTAAATGGGAGACATATGACTCTTTTGAGTAATTAAAGGCTTATTAGTGGTCTAACCTCAGTACTATTCTAGGGACTAGTGAGGCTCCAGGAAAGATCTCTGGGAGATGGGGAGTAGCTGGCTGTGTGGAGCAGTCACAATACGCGTGAATCACCTAAGTGCGTTGTCATACACAGGCATGGTATGTGGTAATGTCAAATAATTATAAAATCAATATTAAAGGTCATGGATGATGGATACTATCACAGATAGTAACCAAAATGTGACTGCCAGAAGCAAGCAACATATGCTGTTGGAAAGACACTGCGACATTTGTCTTTGATGGAAGATTTAAAAAAGAAAAAACAACAACAACAAAAAAACCCATCATGTATGTGGGAAGCACCCTAGGAAGCAGAGGGTAAGTTTGGGCTCACGAAGACTAACTTCAGGATTAATGACTGTATAAAAAGTTGGAAGCCTTGTCATCTCTTCTTTTGGCCTGAGTGGCTAAATGAAGACAGGGTAAGAATGGTTATCATTGTCCATAGGCTTAATGAAATTAAAGACTCCGAAGGCAGGTTTTGGTGCCCCTAAGCCTAGCACATTAAAAACAAGCTAACTGGAGTCCCAACTAGTACTTTTTCTTTTTTTGGGGGGGCCAGGGGTTCCTTTTTGAGACAGGGTCTCCCTGTAGCCCCAACTGTCCCGGAACTTACTATGTAGACCAGGCTGGCCTTGAATTCAGAGATCTGCCTGCTTCTGTGTCAGGATTAAAGGCATGTGTCACCATGCCTGGCTGGAGTTCTACTTAAGAAAAATTTTATTACCTCTTAACATTTATATTCCTGTGAACTGCACCATTTCAGTATTTCAGTACTATTTAGCAAAGCTGAACATAATTATGGTCAGGAAATGGAGAGGCATTCTAGCAGATATAGTGACCAACACAGGTCAATCTCACAGTCCTGCATTCTTTCACTCTTTTCCCCTACAGGCATGGAAGGTGAAGTTTATAAGGTCTGCTCCCCTAAGAGGAAGCTGCCTATCTGCCCCACAGTTGTTGCCATAGTGATTTGCTGTAGGCAGGTCAGCCCAAATCTGTGTGTGGTGGCTATTATGTAAGTCATGAAGTGCATCGCTAAGGTTCTGCTGAACTCGGGACTCTTGGAGACAGCCTGTGCAGTAATGGTTACTAGGCACTTGCATTCTATTGTGTTGGCAGACTGTTACTGGCTCAAAAATCAGCTGACACCTCCCTCAACTCCCGTCTTTACTGCCACTACCAGTCTGAACCATTTTATCTAAAGAACTCCAAGTTCATGATGTAGAAAATATGCCGAACGAGACGTTTAATTTTCTTGTCCCCGTAGTCCAGTCTTTTACTGCCAATGTCATCTTTTACTAAAATGTAAAGAAATGGAATTGGGAGTGAGACATGCATTAGTGTGAATGCTGGCCTCGCTCCAGAGCAACCTGGAGCGACTTACTGACTCTGCAGAGACTTCGCTTTATGACTTGCAAAACTGGGTAAATTTGGCCTAACCAGTGGGAGATGAATAGCACCATGCAGCTGTATCAAGTTCTTTGGACGCAATAAGTGAGATTCTGTATCTAGTTAAAATGAATGAAAACATATCACCGCCCACCCACTAAACTCTCCAACCCTGGTACCCAAATCAGCCTCTACTACACCACTTGATTGAATGCTCAGCAGCAGAGCATATTTGTGAAAGTAAGTTTCTTTTTAGAATCCATGCAGTGTTAGAGGTAAAGAATCAACATTTTGCATAAATGGTTGAGAAATATTCTTTACTACTTTTGTGTCCACATGATTAAAAAAAAAAGCAAACAGTGCTAAATGCCACTTTGGTAAAAACTGTTCAAATTACATCCTTTCGACAGGTTTTATTCCCAAGATGTCAAACCCCTTGGCCATGACAGCAGCCACTGCTTCACACAGTAGCATACGCCACATGTTCACCTTTAATACTTTCCCTGGGAAGATAGAAAGAGAAGATATTAATTATCTTGTTTTTCTTTTTGAAATTCATTAAAGAATTATTTCCAGATTTTACTAAAAAGCGAGTAGCCTAACCCAGATGGTAGACCTAACTAGAATTACCTTCGACTTTAAAAGACAGACAATGCAAGAAATCAACTATTTATATGAAATCTGCAATGAGAAATTTTCTATTTCTCTATAAAATTTATAGTACTTTCGTAAGTGCCTTGATGTGAAATAAATGCCATATTGGGTGGGAATACCACCTTGCTCGCTCTTCACGAAGTTTCTGGTCTCAGGCATGACCCTCACAAGCGGCTAACTTGCCTTGTTAATATAAAAGGGATACCGATGATGGCACTGTGCTCTACATAATGGCCTATTCCAGTGGTTTTCTGGTTTTCTAATTCATTTCCTTTAACTCCTAAGGTATACACTAGGCCAGAAAAGCTAGCACTACTTCAGATTCTGTCTGTTATGTATGCTACAGAATGCTGTGTGAAAGCACCCCCGACACAATTCAGATGCCCTGGTGGCTCCCCTTCCCCAGTGTGGACAGTGGTTGACACTCACCAGTCTGCCGATCTTTCTCCACACAGTAGCAGCTATCATAGAACTCTGTGAAAGTAGTTGCCAATTCATAAATATAATCACAGAGAGTGTGGAGAAGTAGGTCATCTAAAATCTTTTGCAAAATCTCAGGGAAGCGTAAAATACACCGGCCTAGTTTCCATTCCTTCTCATGGTCCAAGACAATCTTGGTTTCCCGAGCAGCTTTCTGCAGCATCTCCTCATTGATGCTGGCCAGCCGTGCAATGGACCTGAAATACCAGACAAGTACCCTTTTGTCAGGCACACTTTTTCTTTTTTTTGAATCTTTTTGAGGCAGGGTTGGCCTGGAACTCACTATGTAGACCAGGATGGCCTTGAGCTCACAGAGATCCATGTCATGTATACTTTTTAAAAATACAAAAGCATGTAATAAATGACTGATATAAATCAGAAAATAATAGCAATTAAAAGAAGACTTAATTTGGTGTTGTAGGGGCGCAGCTACAATGCAGCCCTGGGGAGGCAGAACAGAGATGCCAGCCTGGGCTGTGACAGCAAACGGTCTCAAAAACTCACTAGAAAGATACTTTTAAAATGAAGTGCTTAATTCTAGGACAATTATGATGCAAAACCAACAATCTGGATTTAAGCATTTTATAATATTAAAAATGGGACTGTAATTCTTTTAGGAGGTCATCTGTCACTTTCTTGGTGTTTACCCAGAAGTGCTCTGGAAATCATCTGTCAGAGACAACAGGGACAGGCTTAGGGTTCAAGCAGACCTCTCAATTCTAAAAGAGAAAATAATTTCCAAAGATGCTTCATACACAGCAAAATTTAAAAACCAAACAGCCTGGGGTATGGTGGCACACACCTATAATCTTAGCATTTGGGAGGCGGAGAATAGTGAATTCGAGGTCAGCCTGATTCATTTGAAACCCTGTCTCAAAAGAACTAAAAATAAACCCATTTTTGAACAACCTTCATTTGATTTACAATGTAACAGTGACCAAGCACAATTACCGGATTCTAGTGAAGGCGTACAACAGATAGGCGGCTGTATTTCCTCTGTCATCTAACATCTTGTCAAAGGAGAAGACGTAGTCATTCAACCGGTTATGGGAGAGGTCGGCGTATTTGATACAGCCATATGCAACAGATGTCTGAGCCGCTTTCAACTCTTCTGCAGTTAAGACCTTAAAGGAAAGACAAACACGTCATAGCTTGTTTGGCACAGTTTCTACCCTAGTGTGAGGCAGGAGCCTGGGAAGGGAGCATCTAAGGCGTGCTTGTCAGTGAGCATTCAAACTGAGGAAGAGTGACCTGGGCCAATGTACAAAGGAAATAGAGACAGTAAGAAACTCACCAGGCTATGAATACTGAAGAATGATATTTATACTTGATTTATTATAAAGTGTGAGCCTCTTTTCCAATATATTCATGAAACCCATGCACTATTATACCTACTTTGTGTTATAAACTCTCTTGAGAATATAGCAAACAAAATTAGGATCCAGTAACTAGTGAAATCAACAGCACATCAAGGGTAGAAGAAAGAAACTGCATATTACTTTATTACTATCCAGGAGCTGCAATGGTGCATGCCTGTTACCCTAGCACTGGGGAAGCAAGTTGGAAGTTGGCCAGGGCTACAGAGCAAGGCCCTGCCTTAAAACAAAAATCACAAATATATGGTCATATGTTAAGTATTTCTGTTCTGACCACAATACACTGGGCTTGCAGAAGATTAACTCTTCCACCAAGACACAATTTAAAAATTGGATAAAATATATTGTGGAAATTGGGAGAAAGTCATATAGAAATTAAGCTGGAACTGAGTTGAAACTCTCCTTCCTATGAGCTACCCCTCACAGTGCCAGAAGGTGGGATGTAGCCTAATGGAGATTTGTCAACTGTCTTACTCAGCTCCGGACCCTGCGAGCTACACTGCTGACCCTGCCAGGCAAGATGTGCCCACTGCTGCAACAGTGGCATGACTGCTATGGGGTAAGCAAATGCTTTCTGATTAGATCTGAGGCTTTCTCACAGAAGAAATTCATGTTTGGTACTGTATACCTGGGTCAAAAGCCATGGCTGAGGAGCTCGTAAGTCCTAATGGGAAAGCCACTGCCGCTGTTTTGTTAAATGGACATAATGCTAATTATTAGTTTATGCCCACAGGTTAGTGTTATTGTTAGGTTTGGGGAGAGAAGCTACTTTTTTTGTAGGGGGTGGCAATTATTCCAGACTCAAGTGGTCAATGGTGAGACATGAAGAAGTGACTGCTGAATGTCAGCTCTAAATGGGATATCCATGTCACTCCCTAAGGCTCCTCCCGTTTGAGGAGCTGTGTACAGTTAATGGCGGCTACAGGAGAAAGAGACACATTAGTGGTACAGCCCCTGCTAGTGACCTAATTCAACTCATCCCCCCCCCCCCCTGAATTATTCAAGATGGTACTAAAATTCCATCTACGGATTTCTAAGAACTTGCTCCATAAATATATTTCTGGAGCTAAAAAAAAAAAACTCCAAACAACAGAAAAACACTTTAACATGTTTCCTGGCCACATCAAGTAGTCAAACCAGAAGAACAAAAACAGTTTTGGTACTAAATTCGTATTAATTTGGAGTTCTGTTACTTATTAAGACTGGGAAACGAGGCTGAAGAGATGGCTCAGAGGTGAAGAGCACTGGCTAGTTTTGGAGAAGACCTGGGTTTGATTCCCAACATCCACATAGAGGCCAGTAACCATCTGTAACTCCAGTTCTAGGAGATCTGATGCCCTCCTCAAACTATGCACAACACAGGTGTACTTGCAAAGCACTCATACAACAAAAATTTTTCTAAAAGACTGGGAAAAGGGGGCTGAGGGATAGCAGCACTCTTGCCTAATGCGAGGCCGTGGGTTCCCTCCCCAGCACTGAACTGAAGTGGCATGAGAGACTTTTTAAAACCAAGCCAGTATGGGAACTACTACTCTCAAAAATCTAGTCCATAGTCTTCCTAAGATCTTAAAATTTCTGACACTGAAGTGGCATGAGAGACTTTTTAAAACCAAGCCAGTATGGGAACTACTACACTCAAAAATCTAGTCCATAGTCTTCCTAAGATCTTAAAATTTCTGACACCATTTTTTGTTAGCTACCATATTGGGTCTATATGATAAGATTGTCTAAGGAATTCTAGCCCATTAACTGGCTTACAGATAAATAAGCATGCATATAATTTGTGAACTAAAAAAGCATTTAAGCCAGTTACTGTCAAGTTATGTGTGCTTATTTTTAGCTAAAAATAAATGAGGGGAATACAAATGGGATAACTGCTTAAACATGTAATTTAAAGGCTTGCTGAGCACTGTGGCATGTGTCACTAACCCTGGCACTTAGAAGGCTAAAGGAGTATCACAAATTTGAGGCCAATCTAGCCTACATATCAAGTCAAAAGACACTATACCAAACTATAACAAACACTGTCATAAAAAAAATGGGCAATTTCATACGTAGGGATCCCCCCACCCCCAAGACAAGGTCTCAAGTACTCAGGCTCACCTCAAAGAGTCATGTGATCATGAACTCCCGCCTCCAGCTCCTAAGTGTTGGGATTGCAGGCGTGTGCCAACATGCCCAGCTTTATATGATGTTGGTGACCAAACCAAGGTCTTCACTCATGCTAGACAAGCAATCTACCGACTGAGCCACATCCCAAGAGTTTTTCCTTTTAAGAATTGTTTCTAAGGAAGGAAATAAATAACCAGGTAGAAAAGAACTTGTAAGTAGGAGAGGGAGATGCAAAGGAAGTGAAAAGTATGAGAAAGAAGGGGCTGGAGAGACAGCTCAGTGGTTAAGAGCTCTGACAGAGGATCCAAGTCAGGCGTTCCCCAATCGCCTGGAACTCCAGCTTCGGGGAGACCAACACACATAATCCAAAATAAATCCTAAAATTCTTTCTCATACCTTTCTTCCCCATGTGGTAGAGAAAAAAAAAATCCTACACTCAAGTGCATAGTTTGACAACGTGAAGACAGAAGCAGAGTAAAAACTGAACACGTAAGCGGGTCCAGAGTCTGAGCACAGGCTCATACAGGATGCATCCCCCGTCCCCCAAATTTCTGAGACAGGGTCTTGTTCTGCAGTCCTGGCTGGCCTGGAATGTCCAGTGATCTGACTCCCAGGTGCTGTAATTGTAGCCACTTCCATTATGACTTATTTGAAAGGACCAATATTCATCTATGGTCAAGTTGGCTATCATTAAAATTGTTTGTAGGCTTTATCTAAAACTTGAACATTAACAAATTGATATAAAGCTAGAATTCAATTCTGCGTAAAGCAACAAGGTTTTATGAAGACTCATCTGCACTTCTGTTCTTTACTTTAGGCAGGGTCGCTGACCTCCTATGTCGCTGGGGCTCTTCCTGCCCTAGACGCCCCTAGTACTAGAATTACAGGCATAAGCCGCCCTGCCCAGCTTGAAATGTTTTTCATAAAATTTTAACTATGTTGTGAACTACAGGCTTTCCTGTTTTACAGTTTACATTTAATTAGTTAGGTTTTCTCTGTGTTTTTAAAGTCAGTTTCTGTAAGCTTTTTCTCCCCAGTTCAGACTCAAAATATGAACTCTAGAAGTTACCCATTCTCTACTAAAGGTACTGGTCTTGTTTACCGTCCCCTATAAAAGGAGGTTCACTCTTCACTCTTCCTCTGTTGCATAATCACACCGAGTTTGGTTCTAGCTGTCCCAATGGATAAGGAAAAGCAATGACTTTTCTCTTACCTTTGGGCAAGTGCATACCAAACCAAGGCTTTCTATCTTGTTAACATAATTTCACATATTTGTGCTGTCTTTATCTGGATTTAATTAGGAAAATAGACTTCAAAAACTAAGAAAGACTTGAATCTTTTGATTACTTCAAACTCTGCCTAATGAATATTATTTCTTAACAGTCTATGATCCTATTAAAATATTTTTATCTTATGTATATGAGTGTTTTGCCTGCATTATGTAGGTATATCTGTGTTGTGCAATGCCTGTGGAGGCCAAAAGAGGGTGCTGATCTACTGAAACTGGAGTTAAGGGTCCTTTGCAAGGGCAACCAGTGCTCTTAATCACTGGGCCATTTCTCTAAGCCCCATAGTTGGGTTTTTGTTGTTTCCTTACACGTGGTCTTGCTATGTAACCTAGGGTGGCTGCAAACTTGCCTCAGCTTCCAGAGGAGTGCTGGGATTAGAAGCCTGTGTCACCATGCCTGGCATGATTACTTTTCTAAAAACAACAATATAACTGTTTGCATATTCAGTAAGATCCTCTTCTCTTTGGCAGGATCCAGTCGACAGATCTGATAATATACATGAAGGCTAGAGATTACCCCGATTTCACAGTCAGCCTGGATACTAAGAAACACAGATCACATGTACATGGAATGCCTGGCTTCAAGGGCCCCAGCTTTATGGTGACATCAGGCACTACAGGTTTGCCTTTATATCTAAATCTGAAATTATGATGCAATAAGTCACTTTTTTGTTACACTTACATGAATATGACAAAACAATTCATTTTATAAATTGGTTTTTCTTAGATAATCTATGTTCTACAGCTACTCGTGGCTGCAATCCCTGCCTAGGTTACACAGTGAGACCCTGTCTCACCCCAACTTGCTACTGCCAACAAAAACAGCCCTGTACGTGTCGTCGCTCTGCTGTGCTTGTGGAGACAGGGTCTCACTTCTATTGCCCAGGTCACTCTGACTCCTACACACAAGTAACTCCACTATCTTCAGTCTCCTCGGTGTTGGGATCACAGGTGTACAAAACCACCTCTGGCTTTGCTTTGGGAATTACACATCTACCTGTTCTAGATCCTAAATTCTTTGGGGTACCACTAAAGGCAGAAAGTGTTCTTTCCAAAAGCTCTATACCTTGAACAACTTAATGCAGACATCAAGAGACAAGTCTCATGCCAACTTGTGGGCTACAAAGAAAGTTCTTTCATTAGAGTTATATTGCAAACCCATGAGTTTGATATCTGAACATTCCATACCATAGTAAAGTTCTTTGACAGAATCTGTAGTGATTAATTCTGGTAGCATCCACAATGTACCTTTTTGTTGTGAAATATTTTCTTAATTTCAATGCAATTTTGGGATGCCAGATGGCAATGCTGCTAAATCAAATAAGCGTGCTATTGCTGCTACAAGATC